TTATTTCATACTTGATTCAGTTTTCTTTGTTATTCATAGTGTTGTATCTCGCTTATTCCCCAGCTCGTTGTGTATTCAAGTGCTTTATATCGAAGTTTCAGGGATATATCTAGATATCGCCCCCATTTGAGGGCAATATCTATATATTGCCCTTGAATACTAATGTATATTGCCCTTGAATACCTAATTAACTACTACGTTCAACTTAGAAATTTTCCGTCTGAAACTTTAAACTTGAAAGAAAGAAAGAAAAATTCAAATGACACCAAGTAGATTCGAACCCACAACCTTAGCTTTGAAAATCCTATACTTAACACGTTATGCTAACTGACTAATCGATGTCAGTTATGGAATAAAACAGTTATTTAACATTGTCCAGTTACTTGTTACAAAAGGTGTATTGTTAGCATTGGTCTCATGGGACTAACGAGAAAATTGGTTATGCAAATTATTCCCGTTGGGAATTTTCAATACTGTAAATTTCGTAATCTTTCTAATCGAGGGTTTGGTTTTTAATTCATATGAAAACGGCTTCTTTGCCTATTTAAAAATGAAAATATTAATGCAGTGCTTGGAAAACTTCTTCAAGTATGAAATAAGCCTCGGGATGTATTAGGCTGATTGCCTCCGTTCTCGGTATGTAACTCTTACGTAATGGTGGGAACTAGCGGTAAACTAGTGTCAGCTGTGTCGGTATTTCTAAAGAAACAGCTATCAGCCCGTACTAGTCCACTTGCCCTCGAAATCTAATTGTTAAATAATTTTCCATGGCCCCCCTCTTATGTTTTTTTGCTTGGGTGCACTTTCCTCAAAATCACCAGCCCTCCAGCCCTCCACCCTCCCCCATCCCGATAAAAAAAATGTAAAGTACCTAAATTGTGTCGCTTTGCGAATGTACAACTTTCAAGATTTCAGAAGGCCATGAGACTCGCCTTGATAGTCACGCCTCATAAAAACGCMAGCGGGTTGYATAACCGATATCTCGAAAATTYTKTTCTAAAAACTACACAATACTGGGTATATTTTTATAWAAAGTTTAATTTCATGGCAAGTACATGAACCTTGCAATGTCCAGGTAATTCCATCTTATCCATTTCCATCGTATACATCATCCTGTAACGRTTGATGCTGTCAAAGTTGCTTTGGATCAGTAAATTCAAAATTTTCATTTTCTGTTTGGAGTTGTTGTTGTTTGTGTGYTATTTACGTTCGTTTTTCACAAAAATTCTCAATGAAATAGCTAATGTTTTTACTTGTTTCTTTGTCGTTGATGTACAATTTAAGCGAATGATTCAAGTCCTGTCAAAGAGACAGCGAAGACAGTTCAATGATAAAAGGTTCATTATTAAAGTGTGTCCCAAATGAGAAACAGTTTCCTCCGCCACCCATTACTAGTATCCTGTCAAAGTCCAGTACAAGGCTTGTGTGATTGTGCAGCATCAACGGAGCTTGTCTTGGACACACCTGAACAAGGAAGAAGATCCAAATTTATCATATAGTTATCTCTGAAATACCTATAAACCTAATTGAAAAAAACCTTGTCGTGTTCAAAAAGGTCACATCATAGAAGCTAAGACCTAAAGGGATTTTGGGTACCACTAAATTGGATTACAATTGCACCGTAAAGCAAGTAGAGCTAGTAAGATTAACAGCATGCTAGTCTTTTATGCTGGAGAGCTGTTTGTATGAAATTAGCCAAATTGTTTGTCTTCCCAAGTACCCTTTCGGTCTTAGCTTCTATGATTTGACCTTTTTGGACCCGACAACGTTTCTTCAATTAGGTGTATTTCTCTCTTTTGAAAAGTTGATAGCCTGCGTACATCCGTTCCCAACCCTCCTCCCCCGCCTACGGGGAAATTTTTCCCGAACTTTTCCCCGAAGGTGAAAAAAAAGAAATTTTTCTCCTCCTGCTAATTCTTATGCTAAATTT